TGTTGGTAATAAGTGGGTGTGTGGCCGACCGACGGCCCAACCGACCGACCAACCGTGAAATGGTATATGTGTGGGCGTACGGTCTCTACATTGCTCTGTTACGCATATACGTACTTATTGAACAGGACGATGTCTGGGATCCAAACTTTCTGCGAAGGTATCCTGATTTGTGCTATCCCGGCATACTCGGATGGCTCCCAGCTAAGTTGATAATCTGTCCAGATCTAAAACGGGGAAATGAAATTTTACACTCGCATGCGTTCAATTCACTCAAGATTGCACGTAATTTCGCTTAATACCAACATATATATCACCACAAAACAATCTCTGGATTCATGTAAAAGGAATTAGCTTATTTCAATTGCTTCTGTCGGTTAAAGCTTACAATCCCCAGAGTAATCTCCTTTCAAAAAACGCATACATTGTATTCGTTTTAAAATTAGACTTGACAGTAAAGCAAAGTATATATATATATATATAATACATATATATATTGGATTTCCAGATATAAGTTTCAAAATATTATGATAAATCCTTCCTGTAGCCTCATCCTGTTGTATCATGTCACAACAGCTGAAGTAACGAAGCATACTAGCTAATACAAACTTTAACGTGTGTGCAGGAATGTTTAGCTACAGCCTAAGCTAATACGTTGACGTAAGCTAAGCAATTCCGAGTGTAACGATACAGTTAACTATCGATTAACTGCAATGCCAATAAAGATTGAGCCAGTCGTGATGCGTAAGATCGCGGCCTGTTTACAATATGCATTATCATTGGTAATAGAAGGCAAGTTATCGTACCCAGAGTTTCCATATTAATACGGGTATTTGTGTAAAGGTGTAATAAGTGTATACGTCACATAGCTATTTATTACAAGCATGATTGACAGTTACATCGCACCCTGGGCCCGTTGTCAGAAACATCGTAACTTTACGATGCTTCTGTTAACGGTCTACGAGTCGAAGTTAATGTTAAGACTAATGTTAAGACAAATGTTAACACTAATTTTGTTTCTGACAACGGGCCTCAGGTTAACAACAGCAGAGGTCTGTGACAACTGCGCGCCATCTGTGACAACTGCATGATAGGACACTTCTCTACGGCGATGTCAGGGCCGTAGGCTGAGCAAATTTCTAAGGGTGGGGGGCAAATTTCATGACTCAACTGTGTAATGATGAGCGACGGGCGCAGCTCTTGATCGACGTCCATAGTGTGGTAGGGGTGTGGGTCTGTGACAAGACGTTCACGGATAAGTGACAAAAGAATCACGTTAGGGTTATTTACGATTGTTAGTTAAGCTTGTTTTTTAATTTTCCACCAAAATCTAAGAGGGGCTACGGCCCTGGATGTCTACAGAAACCTGGTAAGATAATAAACAATATGAAGCTCGTTGTTTGCAACGACGGTAAATGTGTTTTAAGAGAAAAGTCCAGGCATGAAATGTAAACAAGGAACGTGGTTTTCAACGAGTGATTTGATAAACTCTAGCAGATAGAAGAGTTCGAATTAGAATTCCATATCCCTGATATGGAATTAATAATGATGATGATAAGGATGATGATGATGATGATGATGATGATGATGATGATAATGGTAACGATGATGATGATGATAATAATATAACACTAATAAGAACTGTTAAAACTACTGTAATAGTAATTCATTCCGACAAATTTTATTTTCTCATTGCCGTAATACGCGCACGTACACATTCACAGTACATTACGTGACGTAACATTCACAGTACTCGCGCACGTTACGTACACCTCTCACGTAAATAGCGCAATACACCATTCACTTTAGTACATACGCGCACGCCCGTACACATTCACAGTACATACG